TATTATTTACTATAATTTAACTTCGTTTAAAAATTATACTGTTATTAAACCTCTAATTATTATTTATTTTATGCTGGTGTTCAGCAATTGCCTTATTATATTGCTTGTTAATAATTTACTTGTATATTATAACGAAATAAAGAACAATTGTTATCAACGCAAGTGTTGTCAATAATATAATATAATTCCTGCAAGGATAGCCGCACCTTGTTCTGCCTATCAACTAGGCCTTAAAGACATTTTTCTATTATTATTTTAGAAGGCTGAAAGCGAGCCAACAACTGTTATAATATAATATAATTATGTGTATCTATTATTATTTTTACTTTGATTTATTATATAGGTACACTGTATACTCAATACATTAAATTATTTTATTATAATTATAATTACACAAGTTAATGCAACATTTAACTTTAAATGTAACTTAGTTACATAACTGTAACTTGTATCCAGTTACAATAAACTGAGTGACTTGCCCAACTCTGAATAAAGTTTTAGTTAAATTTGTTATAATAATTACCAAGTAGTAAGTTTACTCTTTATTAATAAATATATATTTTATATTTAATAATAACAATTAAGAAATTTGTTTTGTTTTTAATTTGATTTTAAATTTAAGAAAATTATTCAAGTTGATGTTGTAATTTATAAGTTTAGTTATAAGTTTATTAGTTCTTAGTTCTATTTTTTTTTTTTTTTATAAATGTCTATCAAATATTATTTGTTGGGTCAAAAAGCTTTAAAATTTAATACTCCTGTGATATACTGTTTTAAATTTTAATAGCAGTTGAAAAATAATAAAAATGCATGGGCCCATTTTTTGATAAGCATTTAAAGTTTGATGTTTAACAACATTTATCGAATTAAAATTTTTTTTTTTATATATATTAGGCTATGGGCTCAGATGTATTTCAATCTATTATAAAGAAATCTTTAGCAGGAAAAAAACAACCATTCAGTAAGGAAATAAAAGAATTTGCAGTCACTCTACAATATTATTCCCCTCGAGCTTATCTGTATGTAAGGAAAATATTTTCTAATGTTCTTCCCCATCCTCGTACATTAAGGCGCTGGTATATGGTTGTAGATGGGAAGCCAGGCTTTACATCAGAAGCTTTTGAGCAGATAAAGAAAAAAGTTATAAAAATTTATAAAAATCATATGACATTTTTCATAACATACAAGGATAAGTCAGGATCATTTAGAAACTTTTTTTAGTGCAATACGTAGTAAAGGAGGATATAACGACAACCAAACATGTCGCCAATTTCAGGCATCGTACAAGCGATTATTGGTGCACAATAGTATAATGGGTTCAGCGTATGGCACTGTTCGATCCTAGATAACACTTACATAGAAGCTGAGAGTAATAAAAAAATATGTAATGAAAATGAAGAAGAATTAAATTTAAATTTTAACTGGCAAACTGAAAAGCCTTTGCTCCACCATGATTAGGTATTTCGAGAATGTACAACACTTGAATTCCTACATTGAAAATGTTTGTGTTTACATTTCTGGATTTGTAACGATGAAAGCAACTAAAAAAATTAATTTTATAATAAAATTTATCTGTTTATCACCATAAATATTAAATAATAATAATTCATTATATTACTATATATTCGTATCTTGTCTTGAATAGAGAAATCAAATAATTAAAGTAACTCTTAAGTTATAATATTGCTATGTACTGACGTCCCGCTAAAACACATAAAACCGCATATACATGTAGGTGTACGTGAGTGTCCCTGGGGCATATGATTTCACCACCAATCACATTGTATCAAATCTCGATAGCCGGTACGAGTAGAATATTAAAATAAGAGAAGCTCATTGTACGAAATTATCRTGTTGGCAGGAAATCATTTAGATACCTAATTAGGGCATCGGGTTTATTGATATTAGGCGTGTGTCACGAATAGTAGGATGTGACCAAACGGCCGCACGAGCGTGGGATGCTACGGTATCCTAGTGATACGCACGTCCGCTTTTGCACGACTCGGCCATGGACACATACTTATCTTATCGATTGGAGAGGAAACACAGAGAGTAGGACTATCTGGACTATATAGGAGAGCCCTGATTAGACCCAATTCAGACGTGAGCCACCAGAGTCAGAGCAAGCACCTTCACGCCAGACACCAGTCCAATTTAATTATTCGGACTTAGAATATTTTCAATTAAATCATTTTGTGCAGTAAAAGTGTTTTATTTACATAGTAATCAAATAAATATCTAATAATTAATCACAAATTAAGTTGTTATACTTATTACACTCAACCCATCTACCTCAACACCAGTCGTTTATCCTCCTGTATGCTGGGACGCTACAATATAGTGAATTACAAMTAAAAATGATGTACTAATTTGCATCAATTAAACATATATTTTAATAAAAACGATTGCAGCGAAAACATATCCATTTTAGATACTCACAGGAACCAATTGACGAATTTAATTATCTTCAAATATTTAGATATACGAATGTATCACAAATTAAAAAATAAAAATGATACCATAACAATTAGATCTACGTAAGTAAATACACAAAACTTGTTTTATTTCAAAACCAATTACTTTAATATGTTTTTATGTGATTTTTAATTTTAATTTTAATGTAATTAAACTTGTTCATTAACCTATGTTTATACTTTATCATAACAAATAAATTAAATAAATTCTTATTTGTCACGTACTTTATTATTATCTATTGACAAAATGACAACATAGACCTCATGCTAGACTTAATCTATGATTGACAATAACAAAATTGAAAATATCATTATTTATCATTATTAATATTAGTTATAGCATAATTATTTATTTATTGAATAGACTCTATTCTGTGATATTATTATACATTATATTATTATGAGTTTTTGACATAGTGCCCTATTGCAGATCACTCATTTTATATTAATTTGTATTTATACCGAACAATTATTATTTTCTTATATCAATATTATTGTCATCATTAAAAATTATTAATTATCCATGGTTCTATGCCTTATCTGATTGTTGATTGTCTAATGGTAATTAATGGGCTGACATTTTAAAATTTCACGCGCCGTGACGTCATGCTTTAAAATTTTGCTACCCAGCAACCAGTATCTAACCACTGTGGTAACATAAGTTCTCTTCGATCACAGAACGCTCTGTGCACGATGTAGAGAAGATGAGGTGACACCACTCTCGTATCTTTCAATGTTACAATATTGACGCAAATTGGATATTAATAAATAATAATTATTATTAGTTTTAGCTCAAAGATGCCATTTGCTCAATTATTGCAAAAACTAAAATACAAAAAAAATGTATTATTTTTAATATTAGATGAGCTAAGGACACTGTCCTTAGGACAAGCAAATTTAATATAAAATTACGCGGGTGTGATGAACATTTAAATGCATTAACCAAAAATATAATGGCATTTTATTTACATTCCAGAATGTATTTTGTATGTGAGAAAAAAACTTAGCTAAGCACTAAGCAGTCTAAACTCGCATTATAACAATGTAACATATAATTGTTAAAATATAATACTTTTAAAATAAAACTTCCTTCATAAAATCTATATTAAATTGTACATAATTGAATAGAATAATTACTTACAAATAATTCTTACTTGGTTAATATCCTAAATTCTTAACTAATAGTATCGAAAACAACAAAAATATATATTATTTTTATTATTTTACATTAAAAACAATGTAATCACAATATAAAAACCGGCCTTCAGGCGAATGGTGGCGCTACCTACCTACTGCCGAGAAAATTTGCAACCGGAATATGTACAAGTGGTGTCACCTTACTTCTCTACATTGTGGCTCCGTGTATAAGGTATAGGGATGGCCCATCCATTTCTTTATTATCTATGGGCCTATCCAGTCTTCTATTATCTATGCCAGTGACGGACTTTCAAGGTATACCTTGGTCTTTAGTGGTAATCAGATATAATTATGTGGTGATACCATTTTAATTTTTAAATAGTTATCTGTGAAATTATGATTAAAATAAGTTTGTCACAATATATTTCCAGTTTATCATTTATTATTCTTGGGTAATTCAGTATGTCCAATTAGTCTATAAGTTAATAAATGATTAGGGTTCAAATCTTTAATTAATTGTTATTTATGTTGTTACCTTGGGTTCAATGATATCAAAAATTATGACTAGACCCTGGTCTTTACAATTATTTAAAACATTTTGAAAACCACCAATACTTTGAGAAGATGTATCTCGCAAACCAATCAATGAAAAATAAAAATGTTAACGCATAAATTAAGAGTAAAATTAGGATTATTAATACATGATATTTTTATCATATGTCACCATTTGAAAATCAAAAGTTGATAGTGATTTCACCAACAATTAAAAGGGGAAAAAATTAAAATATTATACGGTTTTAGAAAAACATAAACATAGAAATTTAAAAAAAGTTAATATTTTTCGAAATAATTAGTGTACCCACTTTAAAGAATCACTCTGTATATAATAACTTTTGGCATCAATAAAAATGTAGACAACATAGTTTATAATATAAAAACGTATTTAAGATACATATATATATATATAATATTATAAATACATTGAAAAATAGTATTAAGTAGTACAATATTTTCATTATGGATACTACTGTGTATAGTCATTTATTAAAGCTCATAAAATAAAATGTGTTACACGTGGGCAATGATTTTTTTCTTTTTCTGTTGTTGAGATAGTTTTGGATATATTTTTTCATATCGGAAACTAGGTGGAGGAAGGTCACTAATTTTTAAATGTTTTTTCATAGTACCTGAAAGTCCTGATGAGACATTTGGAAACTGCTTAGCATATGAAAAAGCAAACTCTCTAGCAACAAATGCATAAAGTTCATTTTCCATTTGCCAAATTGTAGAGTCATGAAATTTTTGTATGGTCTTCCGAGAAACAGGATATTTCTTGGCAGTCTTTCTTAGATGTGACTTAGAGCCTATAAATAATGATGTAATATAGTAAGTACAAAAATACACGGAACTGAAATTAATTAATATGTCATATAAAATAAATAAAAAGTATTTTTGTTATATGCAGTCTTACACACACTCATTGTCTATCACACATCTACCCAATCATTCCTACCGAGGTCTATTAGTAAAAACGTTAAAAGGTATATAGACTTATTCAAATTCGAACAAATATTGTGTACTCACATAAAGGGTTTATGGGAGCTTTAAAATGTCATACAGCTAGAAAAAAAAGTCACCAGCAATGATCTAACAATAAAGATATTGTTGTCAAATTTATTACACCAATGGTGGTGGCAGAAAAATGATGGAGACTATCCATTTAAACGTTTCCTAAGAAATATTAAATCATACAATATTACAAAAGAAATATTTTTTATAAATAATTAAAATGCTTTACACACATAATATATTATGTAATGTTAATAGTATAAAATAAATAATTTTATTTACAATTAAATAATTAAATAATAGTGCGAGATTTATTATTGAATGATTTTTAACTAGATAGGTACTATTTAAATATTTATATAATATTTTTCATTACTATTAAATATATTATTATTTCTACATTTATAAATTTAACAATATTTTAATTAAATATATAAAACGTGTGGTACATTGTATACGTCTATATAAATGTGCGATGAACTAAATACAACAAAAATACCTAATAAAATATAGACCATGTATACATACTGTGTTTGAAATGTTCTGAAGCATTGCGAAACATTCCACCAGGAATTACAAGTTCAAGCATCTGTAGATATTCTCCCATTTGTTCGGTAACTCCAACTAAAGTGTATTTTTCAAGAACATTACGTTTGGCCTGTTGTAATGCCCACTCACTTCCTGGTATCCTATGAAATGACATTTTTATAATATACAGTAAAATTAAAACAAAGAAACATCTTAAAACTCGATATAAGATTGCATTAGTAATGTGTCAGTTATAATGATAAAAAATAATATTGTACAAACCAGCAGTCTGCTGACTGACCGCACAGGAAAGGAATTTGTAACCACAGAAGATTTGCTTGACAATCTGATCCACCTCGCTCAACGCACTCATCAAATGTCGTTGATGAGTCCATATGCTTTTTACGCACTAGATGTGGTCTATAATCATCACCGTACCGTAGGAAATAATAGTACGAAACCAACCTCTCCAAAGGTTTGCGTAACAATTGAACGTAATAAGGCTTCTTGTACCCATATCTTTAAATAAAATCAATAAGTGTAATTAGTACGTATAATATTTATTTAAAAATAAATCAAAAATTACCTCTCAAAATCAACGTACGCAAAATGACCATGATAAAATGCGGGCCGAATCCAACGTGTAGTATTTTCAATGAACCGGAACTGAAAGAGATAATAATTGTCCATTTAAATACCAAATTTGAGATGGCTATGGCAGAGTTTCTTGAGTAAAGATACAGCAGTGTAATCAATACCTGATCATAGATGGAAAGCAAATGCGAGTTGCCCGTAACGTTGACATGAAGGACTCGAAATGCATTACGAGAATGCAGATCATAGGCCACATTGACAAAACTTGTGGATCCGGTCTTAGGTACCCTATTGTAGATTACCAGAGGCTTTTGTTCTTCTAGAATCACAACAGAGTTTTGGTGGTACTGTGAGGCAGATGAATCTGTGATATACACAGGTAATAGTGACTCACATAGATGTAAAACATCACAATATAATTATGACAAAACAGATATCAGCAACAATTTTATATAAATTTTCTGTGGAAGACCCACAACTTTAGATAGCATCGATCAGTTTTATGATGTGATAACTCATAATACTCTGCAAATAATTATGATAGGTAGAATATACTTTGGTAAACCCAGGTGAGTACCACAGAATTGCTGGCATACATATCTATTTTGTCATGAACAGCTACTATGTCAATTGACTATAACATTGTAATAAGAACATTGGTATAGATTCTTGTACACTTACCAAAATGCTGGTAATTACTTTCACCACTTGCCAACTTGGCCACAGCTGCTTGAATTTGAAAATTCTGTTCACGTAACAATGCATGATATGCAATAACTGCACCCAATACTACTAAAACTCCTAGAATCACAAGTACAAGTAGGTACACATGTACCATTTTTTGATGTCTTACCCTGAAAAACATTTTGGTAAAAGAGTGGAAAGTGTTGGAATTGTTTTTGCCGTATTTGTAGTCTCAACAATAGTAGGATGTAGCAATTGTTAATTTTGTAGTGTGCATCTCTTTCACTTCAATGAAGAACTACAAACACAATTTCAAAATAAGAAGCGACTGTAAATACTCRCTGCTGAATAATAAATACACAATACACATATGTGTTTCAAAATGTACAAATGGCGGTATTCATAAAAATAGTGTAAAATAAGTACGAACAAATGAAGAATACGTTTACTCACCATCTGTCGAAAAATCATTTACGTCCAACAAACAACACAAGCATGATTGTTATAAATACAAAAACTATTGGGGAGAGATAGTTGGAGCCTCAATCACGTTAGGTCAAGCCCTATAATCATAAATCGTTTCTACTTGAAAATAACAATAGTTAGACACCGTGTCGGTGAGCAAAGAAAAATCGTTTACTTACCGCTAATTAAACATGAAATTAAATACATGTTACAGATTTTCTTCTGTAGACAGCAAAACAAAATTCAATTATATTGAATCAATTATTATATACGCTGTGGATATTTATTATGCTATAGGTTAGTTTAATATTTTTTGCCGATGAACAATGTCGAAACACTCGAAACCACGATTATTAATATGATATCTCATATCGTGGTTGAAATGCGAAAATGATTATTGTTTGTAACGATAACGGTGATAAGGCATCGGCGGCAGTGATAAAGTCGTTCGCAGCGGAATATAGCGCTATAGGTAGGTACATCACAATATTTAAGATCTTAAATCGTRCTATTTACCGGACGTCTATTATACATAAAGATATTAATTGGACTTACCCATAGGCCATAGATAATACCTAATATATAGAATGTCTTTGTGTTTTACGCTTACTGTTTAGTGTTTAGGGCCGCCTTTGATAATAAAGATATTATATTGCCACAGAAAAGAAAATATGTATAATATTGAATTGCCGCCGTTTACCCATCACTACGCGATAACAGCAGTTTGGAATCGTAATAATTACGAGAAATAAGATCATATTAATTGTCATAAACTCATAATATTAATAATGATTCTGAGTATTCTGGCGATGGCCATTTTCGACGTCGCTTTATCTCTGTGCTTCGTCGTTTATTTAATAATATGTAATTTCATAATTTCGTAAATACTTAGTATTATTATGTTTTATCAATCATTGTAAATAGTCATAATTCTACATTCATGTATAGATCGCGGATTTGTATGCACTAGAAAGTGTCAAAATATGCCATTTATTATTATGTAGTCAAAATTATGAAAGTATACAAGAAAAAACTTTAAACTATGTAATATGGTAAAAACCCGCGATTAAAAAGCTTATAATTATTGGTATCTACTAAATAAACAAAAAATAATTTAAATTTTATTATTTATAATATTTTATTTTAATATCATTAAAATTATTAAAATTATCACTTATACTTATTACTTGACGAAATATGGCGTACCTACCTATATTTTTTTAAATTTTTGCTCCAATAAGCAATACATTTTTAACTTAGTCAAAAATCTATGCAATAATCATTAAATACTCAGTAATATACAAAAAAAAAATTGCCATTAGCTTTAAACTGTTACAATTCTAAAAATGAGAAAAGGAAATGAAATGCAATTGCATAAAAAATTGAGCTCTGCTCATTTATATATATATATATAATTCCAAAGTCAAATGTGAAATGTCAACTAATGCCAATCCACAAGGTTCATATTTTATTAGGTGTTAGAAGAATTGATAAAATCATACTGTTAAACATAAATTATTATTTATTAGCATGATCAGTTATGAATTAGTTAGTACTGTTAGTAGGTATCTATTTATATTTTCTCATAACAAATAAAATTGTGAGGATTTTATATGGTCAATTCATCTTGTGTCCAACACACTTGCTAGGTCTTTTTAAATTTAATTTTTTTTTGTTCAATTCATTGATAAATAAAATAAAATTAAATATTTAAATATTATCCAAGATTGATATTTGTTTTAATTTTTTAATTCATATGAATTTTCAATTTTTTTTTAAATATTGTATTGACTATTTAAATATATTTACAATGCATTTCTGATACCTATTTGTATTTAAATATTTTAGCTCCTGGACTTTTTTGATTAATTAAATTTCATACATAATATACATAAATATATTAGGCACTTAAATCACTTTACGATGTTCAGTTATATAGGTATTCATTAATTATTATTTTTATGAAGAAAATAAACAAGGTACCTATTACAAATTATTTTAATGTAATTACTATGAAAAAAAATATCAACTATTTCCAACAAATATTGGTTAATTTAATTATTTATATGGCCTAAAAACCAGACAGTAACATTTTTTTAACTTAAAGGCTATACCTACTATGATTTTTTAGAGCATATTATGATAGTTGATAGTCAACAATATGGACTATTACATAATGTTAAATTAATAAACAAAGGATGAAGAGTATTTCAAATATAATAAAAATTTTAATTTGAGAAATATTCAAATTTTATTCCACCTAAAATTTCAATGACTAGATCTCAATATAACTAAGTCTCAATAATTCAAACCTTTTGACCATTATACACATAATCATACCACTAAATAGAAAATATTTTTGTGGGTATCAAGTATACAATGGATTAATACAATTTTTAATAAAATAATTAAGAAGGATAAATAATAATTATGATTAGGTTAAAAATTAAGAACATTAAAAGACAAATAGATAATATTTGATTTTTTTATTCAAGTAATTCAATAATAATGATGGTATTACAAAATATTATTATTCAATATTGGTTTTAAAACTAAATTGTACATAATATGATGTTATAACATATTTTCTAAATAAAAATAAAAATTATTAATAATTTTAATATAACACTATTAATAATTTAGTTATCAATATTTATTGTCTTAAAGTAAATTATATGTATTTTATAAATTGCTTTTTTGCCAAATTGTAAATCAGAGATTACAATGAAGTGGTGTCTTAATATTTCCTAACTAAAGACTAGAAGGAACATTAGTAGCATTTAATAGGTAATTATACTCAACGATTGAGGAAAATATTTATTACTGTTTAACATTGTTGTAGAAAATAATTTATAAAATATAAAACTGAGAAAAATATATTCATCAGTCATCAATAAACAACATAAATTCAGCAACAACAACATAATTTATCTATAATACTACCACTAATGGTGTAAAACAACATAAAAAACTTAATATAATTTGAGATAAATTATAACATAAATATCACAAGTGTAATACTTAGAATATATTTTTAATAATAATAAAAATATAATAACAATAATTATTATCTTTTTAATAGTTTTAGATTTTAGTGGTTTGTACTTTTCTGATAAAACGCTACTGCCATGAAGACTGCAACAATATAAACTACCCATAAGACTTATAAATGTTGGTAAGGTAATAATAAAATACTTATTTATGCATCCATTAATTTAATATAAGGATATGGGTGGTGATGATTATGGAGCTCGGAGGTCAATGGTGCAGCAGACCTTCTAGGATAGATAACAAATAAAGCTAGTTGTATGACAGAAAGCATACACCCAATAGCATTTGGGTACTGTAACAAAAACAATCATTAATGATAGACTATGTACAAAATTAAATAAGAAAGATTAATAGTTAACAGTAATAAAAAAAGGTTCAATATTACACTATTACTTATATAATTTTATTGGTGATATTAAGGTGACTCGATTTTGATTAAAACATACCAATCTTTCGTCCATCAAATTAATGGACCTAATAATGCGATAAGATATTTGAAAACTGATTTGAATTTGTTATTATGTCTTCTTAAGATTGGCTGTGCTACTTTTCCAAATTGTTGACCCTAATCTATTAAATATGTATTTAAAAATTGTGAAATTTAAGTTTTGATTACACTGAATTAAAATTGTAAATTCGAATGTCAAGCAACCAACCTCAAGAAGAATTAATAAACGAATTCAAATCAGTTTTTAAGTCTTATCGCATTATTAGGTCCATTACACTGATAGACAAAAGATTGAATGTTTTAGTCAAAAAACGGTCTAATTAATTTTTCTCGTGCGTACGACGTTTACATATGCATGAGGGTTTATATCTAGTGAGTAGTGGTGCGAGTCACTCACACTAATAATCAGTTATTCAGTTCCTACTTACTGCACACAACGTAACCATGCCTTGCACGCACTAATATAGAAATTGCCTATATATAACTCTTTAAAACAGGTCTATATCGAATCCCCTTTAAAGGATGTCAGCGGCTCAGCGCACTATTTGTTTTATCTCTCTGACCCACGCGAAACATAGACAAAACGCATTTACGAAAAATCATTTTTTCTATGTCTTTAAGTAATTTTAAAGTAAAACCTTCCATTACAAAAAAGATAAAGAATAATATTTTTGAGGGGATGACATATCGATTTTATATTTTATTGATATTTGACTTTCAAAATAAATAAAAAAACACTGTACATTTAAATAATGTTTAAATTATTAAGAGACAATATTTAGACAAATCGATATGTCATTCCCTCAAAAATATTATTTTCTATCTTTTTTTGTAATGGAAGGTTTTACTCTAAAATTACTTCAAGATATAGAAAAAATGATTCTGCGTATATGCGTTTTGTCTATGTTACGAGTGAGCCAGAAAGAGAAAACAAATAGTGCGCTGACATCCTCTTAAGAGGACGCTACACCCACAAGTGTAGTCTTTGTCTTACAAGTGCATAACATAACAAATTTTACGCTCAGCAGATCACGTTTAACTACTTTAGAAAATATATTTTATAATATTATTGTAAGTAATTTATTTTAAAATAATATATTTAGAAAATGATAAATTAGATGTTTAATGAAAATTGCAAGTACCTAAAGTTAATAATTTTTGAACTACAACAAGTGAATCTGTTCTATGAAATTTGTGGAGTTACAGGTGAGTGTTTAATGTCTAATCAAAAAATAAATAAATAATTTGACTTTACAATTAACTTGTTTTATTGTTAAATGTAGGAAAACTTTTAGGGAATCCTGAATTAAATTTTCTAATCTAAGATTTAATATCAATACATACATCCTTTTGATCGGAGTTTAAAATTTTAATTAATGCATAACTAACAATTCATCTTGTAATACAACCAAAAATATATTAAACTGTAATATTATTTGAACCTAACAAATAATAAGAGTAAATTACCATAATAAACTTGTCACGTAACATTCGACCATAAACCAACCACTGAGCAGAAACAAGGAATGTCATTACAATCAACGGCAGTGGCATTGACTCTGTATTTTTAGTTCTTATCACATGAATCTATAACAATTTTAAATGTGAAAATTGTTTGTGACAAATTATTTTATGATTATATGATTGTTTATTTCACGAGTTGACACTTACTAAATTTGAAAATGGTGCTGCAAAAAACAACATAGTAGTTAGAGAACATAAAAGTCCAACACGGTCAACAGCATCATTAGTGGTCGTGGAGATGATTGATGTATCTGATATATCTAAAGGTGTTACTGCTGCCACATCTACTGTTTGATGTTGATACAATTCTGCAGATAACACAGTTTTTGACTGCTTTCGATTTACATTTGTGTAAGTAATATACACAATCCACGCAATGATGGCAATAGCTGATATTACATATTGTATAACTCGTTTCTAAAGTATCGAAAGTAAACATATTATTGTATAAATCAATAGCTAAAAAGTGAAACATCATAATTTATTACCAATAATTAAACCTAATTAATAATAGTTAAAAGTGCAGATTTTATGAAAAATAATAGTCTTAGTTTATTTAATAATTTAACACTGATTTATATTAATTAAAAACAAGTTTGTTAAAAAAATATTGCATTAATGTCCATTGTGACAGTATGGTTAAATAGCTTAATTATAAACTTAATGTGCATACATTTACAATATTTTCAAAAATTTAATAAAAGGTTCACTAAAATGATTAAACATTAAATAGGTTGTTACTAAATTTATTTCATAAAAAGACAAATCTGTAGTTTTTTGTTCCATAATAAAATTAGGTCATTTTTGGTTTCAATTGTATGTTTTTATTTATTTATTTATTTTTTTTTTTGAGGGGGAGGGGGGTCGCAAATTTTATTTTAAGTAATATTCATCAAAACAAAAATTTGCTATAAAATTATCAGAAAAACTTCACACATTAATAAACTAATGACACCAAATACCAACATAGTGATGGAAATGTGTAACTCTTGCAGGCCTTAATTAATTTGGATTTATTTATTGAAAAATTTTTATAAGTAGTATATAATACTAGATAAGACCATAACAAATTCCACAAAAAAAACCAAGTTTTTAATCTCGGATTGTTTTGGTATTTGAGTGTATACTAATCTTGTACAAACTTATTGTCCGTCTTATTTTAGATATTATTTATTCTATCATTAGTTAAATTTCAAGAAAAAAATGTTAAAAGGATGCCTACACCCGCATATATTGTCTACGTCTTACAAATGTAGAACATAGCAAAATCTGTACTTATGCAGGACAGCTTTTCACCCTCAGTATTTACAGTAGAACTATCAGATTTCCACAAGGCATAGGGTAAGAACTTCGCCCAGAATCTGGGTCGTAGTGCAGTTGTTTTTTTTTGATAACATAAATATAATTCAAGTCATCAGCTTAAGAAAATACATTTATTTTTTATTATTTCATTTAATTATTAAAAATTATTGGTTTGTGCTGTCAAAAAAATAACGAAGCAACAACACAGATAAAGTTTTTACTTGCACATTGTGGAGTTCTGATAATTCTACTATACCTAAATACTGAAGAAGAAAAGTTGTCCCTCGCAAGTACAGTTTTTGCTATGTTCTACATTTGTAAGACAGAGACAACACACACAGGTGTGGTGTCCTTTTAAGTGTTAATTGATTGCATATTTTAGGAATGTTTAGGGCTATAATATGTCAATATGAAATATGGACATTTTATGAAAATATTTGTTAGTTTAACTTCACAACCATTAATGTTTTAGACTAATTTTATATTAGAAAATAACTTACTTTTTTGGACGTGTATCTATAGTATATCCATGTGTATATCAAAAATAGTAAACAGCCAAAAGTATTCACCGACACTAATGTGCTGTTGGCCAATATCATGCCATAATATAGCCAGAGTGAACACCTGAAATATTTGAGTATAATCATATTGTCACTTAATACGAATGGTAATTGGGCAACAACAATTAGATTCCATTAAATATTTTATTTTAGTAGTTTGGACTTGTCTGGTATCAATTATGATATAATTTTAATAATAATAGCCTTGCACAAAAATTATGTAGTCAACAAATTAATCAATTCACAAATCATAACAGTAAAAAAGTTGTAGTCCAAACATTAAAATATGAAATGATGTGAAATGACTTACGACAGAAATCCAGTGACAAATGGTACAACAGACTCGTTCAAAACTTTACCCTTCTTCATAAAATTAGTACATATCAAACTGTAACACAACAATACCTGGGTAAATATTGTGATATAATAATAAYATGTCCCTATCCCAAAGCTTTTTAATTATCAAGTGTAGTTAAAAAACAATATAATACAATGTATCGACCAATTTAAATGCACTATGTACTTTCTAATAGTACTATGATAGAGTTGTACTCACAATCCAGACAAGAACTGGACGCACGTGCTTGCTGAAGCGGAAACACGTAGCGCATACTCAAAGTCATATCCGTACATCATTGACACAACTGTAGACACACAGATTTGAGGACTAAGGTCTTATGTGCCAGTACTCGTTGTGTTTCACCACTGATACTGGCTGTGGTGTTGRCGCACACTGAGAAAAATAAACCGACGACGAACTTTGCAGTCGAAGTGGCGAGGGCGTTGAATGTAGGGAACAGCGACCAACAAATTTATTACACGACAGTAATAATTTACTACAACAGTAATAATAACGACAGCACCACGTCATTACGGTGTACAGCGAAACAGTTTAAAACGCTGATGGAACGGCGCGTGCGTCTCACATCGAGACCAGTTGCCGGGGGCGATAAAAAAAATTGCAGTGAATTGCTGTACACAAATTTCAACAATTGTTATGTATTACGTTTAAAGTAAGCTGTGCCAATATTGACGATCAAATTGAAATTGTATTAAGTGTTTGAGTTTGTTTATTCTAAAAGTCGATGATAACGACGAAAACCATAACAACGGCGATATCATTAAAAGTAAAATAGTATACAACGAAAAACTATGGCCATTAGCCAAGAAGTGGCATGTCCATATTATCAGAACAAAAATTTCTGCCGAGTGCCGATGAAAGTCGATTACTCGATTCTGTAAATAATRTTGTTTTGTTCGTAAACGTCCCTTATCATTTTTCGAAGAAGTGCTTATCACTCTTTATCAATATTGAGTTTGCACTGTTTACGGTTCACTACAACTGCTACAACACTATACTATAAATAATTTATGACTAATTATTACTAATTAGTAACTACTAATAATTATCCAATTAAATACTCTGAATGTACTTGATGATATTATTATAATTTATCAGCAGGCTAGTGAACTATTGTAGCGGCACAGGTAGTGACACAAATCATAACATATTATTTATTCTTTACATTATATTTTTAAAATGTGAGCCGATTTCTTATGACAGTTATAATATCTGAAGTTCTACAGGACCGATTTTCATGATTTCTTTTTCCAACGCAAGTACTCGGTGTGCAGATGAATCATCAGAAGAGAAACGCCCAAACAATTTATTATTTAATTAGTTATTAGAAGTATAACGTTCGCGAGTCCAGTACCTTTTATTACATAGCGACACACACACACACATATTTATGACCTCCATTACTCCTACGTCTGCTGCAATAAAGCTGTGTCGTGGTCGGCAACGGTGGCGTGTGTGTACATTTACGCTGTGACGTTGTGCAATAACAGTGAAATTGTTATATCTTAAATAATATTATTATTAAATTTAGTTTTTATTTAGAATGGAATATCAATTAATTCCCACAAGTATGTGATGGAAATTGTTCATTTCGTTCCGAGGCATATTTAATGTTTGGTATACACGAAAAACATTGAGATATTCGATTAATTGTTATTAACTTTGTTGATATAGTGGTTAAATTCATCATTCGACCGTCAGTATGTTAATTTTGAAAAAGAAACAATGACAAAATAATGATGTCTATATTGTAACATAGGTACTTACTACTTACACGCTCCGAACTTGGCGGATGGCAGAGGCGGACTGGCCAGGTGGCATAGTGGGAATAGTCCTATACTGGCTATACTGGGCCGCCGGCTTTCCAAGGCCGTTCGAACTATGTAAATTTTAAACTTTAACTAAAATAAAATAATAATGATTGTCAAAATAAATCTATTTGTAATCTATATTTTAATTTATAATTTGGATTTTAGATAATATAAAATGGTTATAAATGAAAGTTTTCAACAACAAAGAAGTTAAAAATTTAATTTAGCCTAGTTCAGTGGTACTTCTATTTAAAACTTTTGATAAAAAGGTAATAAGGATAATAATTTAATTTAAACTCGGGTCATTGACACATGTTTGTTATTGTACAATTTTGTTGCTGTGTGAATTCATATTAGTATAACTACTGTGAGTGAGCTATATCATCCAAAAATGACAATTAATAGTTTAGTGCGTACACTGTGTACAGAATTATCGACTGCTGTGTTACTGACTGACGACTGTGACTAAGTAGGTACCTACAAACACTACATCAACAATCGACAAACTTATCCGTTTTTAGACATATATTATAGAGCATCATWCCTCGTATTTACGTTTATTGTTTTTATTACCGCCTGCAAATTAACATTTTTATGTAATATGAGTTCTAAAAAAACAAAAGGCGGAGCCACCAAAAAACGCGAGAAAAAAATCGAATTACAATTTACAGCTCAATCGTGACAACGCATTTTAAATGTGTTAAAGAAAACAAATCCTAGTGGCGATATACAGAATTATATGYTTCATATGAATTTTTTCTTACCTTGTCAGTCACTGAAGTTAATAATTTTATAGCAAACTAAGTTTGTTAAAACGATACTTAAGGCTAATATGAATCAAGATAATTATAAGAAGCACTTTTAATCATGAGTGTTGAAAAACTAATGTGTAAACTTGAAGAAGTTCAAATTTCAAATTTTTTTTTTATTTAAAGAAAGAAACAATCCGTSGCAGCTGTGACAATTGAATGTAATATTACATTTATGTTATTATATAATACATAATACATAAAAACCTAGATTTCTGATTAGGTATTTTAAAATGCGGGACTGGCTTGTATTCGGCCAGACCAGGCTTACAGTAGGTTAGGTACAATAGTAGGTCACTGTAATGAATGGTATTAAATTTGAATTCAATGATATAATATTATTGTGTACGAAAAACGTGATTTTGAGACGGTATGTCTATAATATTACTATAGCAATATTGGCATATTTTATAATATTGTGATTAAAGTAATTAATTTTAGTATTAGGCATTAGTATCTTCTACAGTAGGTTAAATTCATTTCCCCCCCAAAAAATACATTTTAAAATGTCATTGTGTGTATAAAATACAACAATATGTCAATCAATATATTCTTAAAAGTTTCTTATATCTACGAATAATATTTATTTTTAAATTACAACAAAATAACCAAAATCGATATTATTGGATTTAATATGTAACTTCGTTCAAATTTTATTTTAATAATAATAAATTTATTTATTGCTTGTAGTTGATAAATGTGAACAAAGTGTATGGTTAACATATGAATTTACTAGCTTTGCTCTATACACTGAGGTAATACACTAATACCTCTTATCGTAGACCAAGAATACTAATCTAGATGTAATTAAAAAATTGAATATTATTTAAAATAAAGAAATAAAAATTCACAATTTGAATTTAAAATGTCTGTAAGAAATAACTGTGTTTATATATTTTTTTAGATTTATTGGTCATAATATGAACAATTTATGAGAATCTATATTTTAAATCTTCAATCCTTAGTTATAAA